TTCATACAGTTAATAAAGCAACACCAGAAGATTATTCATAAGGTCTGTAACCTGTATACCCATACTGAACAGGACAATAAAGATCTGTTCCAGGAAGTGATGCTGGCTGCCTGGAAGGGCTACCGTAATTTTAAAGGCGATGCCAAATTTTCTACCTGGCTCTACCGGGTGGCACTCAATACCGCCATTACCCTTTACCGGAAAGAGCAGCGGCAGGTAGCAACAACTGAGTACCAGGAAGCCCTCGCAGCCCCACTGGCAGATACAACTTTCAAAGAAGAAGAACAACTAACAGCCATGCATAAAGCCATTGCAGCACTGTCTGCCATTGACAAAGCCCTGGTGATGCTCTACCTGGAAGACTATAACTACCAGGAGATTGGTGATATTATGGGCATCAGCCCAAATAATGTAGCGGTAAAAATGAACCGGATAAAAGCGAAGCTGAAAGAAAGCAGTAAAAAATACCTGTAACTATTAAAGTTGTGCAACATGGAACTGGATGAATTTAAATCATTGATACAATCAAAGCCTGCAGACAATCCCGGTGCAGCCTCCATCCCGGATATGGAAAAAGCCATCCGGAAAAAAGCCAGCGCCACAACAGGTCAGCTGAAACAAAGCATCCGCCTGGAGTTTGCACTAAGCGGACTGCTGGCAGCAGCCTGCGCATGGATGGGATTGCATTGGCCCTACCTCTATGTACAGGTTATTTCAGTATTTGCAGTAGGGTATTGTATGCTGTTTTTGTACTTTCTGTGGACACTGTACAGGAAGATCATTTTCTATGAGCACTCCTCCCCCTCTGTACTGGAAGGATTGGAGCAAACCATTGATATATTGCAAAGATTCACCAGGCTCTACTTCCAGTTCAATATGTTTATGCTGCCCGTGGCTTTTGTTGTTGGATTAATAACCGGCTATCTTGACATCAGCGCCCAGGGCAGTTCTATTGGCTTCAGCTGGACAAAAGCAGGGTTGTTTTACATTGCTTTCTTTATTGCATGGTCTGTATTTATGTACTTCTTCAGCAAATGGTATATTAAAAAACTGTATGGCAATCATCTCCAGCAGCTGAAAGAACAGCTGAAAGACATCAAAAATGGTTAAAAGGTTTTAACAGCTCTGGCAGTTTAGGTCAAAATGGACTAATATTGCACGCATAAACAAACTTTTAACAGTCAACATGAGAATAGCAGCCAAGCTTCTTTTAATGTTATGTTTAGTGGTTTCCATATCTTCCTATGCACAACAAGACACTGTACCCCACACCGTAACACCCGTAGACTCGGTGATCACCCCTTTGCGGATCACCAACCTGAACCCATATTTCACCATTCATTCAGACTCTACCCTTACCTATAACCTGGAAATAAATAAAGACGAAACAAAATACTACTGGTTCCTGCGCAACTCTCCGGTAGGGCTGCGGATTAACAAAGATGATGGCGTACTTACCTTTAAAGCAGAGAAATCATTTTTCCTTTCCGGCAAACTTAAATACGATGTTGAATACAAGGTAAACATCGGTGTACAAAACCTTTCTGATCCCAAAGAAAGGGTCGACACCGTCTTTACCATGGTTTTTTACAACACCGACATTATTGTATCAAGGGTAAAACCTTCTGTGAGTTCTACGCTTACGGTGGATGAGGGCGATACGATCAGCTTTAAAGTACAGTGCGAAAACGGTAGTTTCCCCATAGAAAACATCACGTTTTTTGCGAACAGGCCCCTTAAGAATTTCACCCTGGTGAAGAAGTGTGATGACGATTTTACCTGGATGGCCCCTTTTGATTTTGTAAAAGAAACAGATTCGGCGAAAATAAAAATACTGCAGCTGTATTTTGTAGGTACCAATAAATTCCAGGCAAGAGACACGGCAATAGTCCGCATTATTGTGCGCGATGCGCTTAACTACCCGCTTGCCGAAGAAGACTATAAATTGGTGGTGAAGAATATTAACACCTATATAGTGCGCCTTAAATACACTTTTCTGCAATTGGACAAGCGGGTGAAAGGCACCAAAACCACGCGCACTACCTTTGATATTACCGGTTCTACCACTGCCCTTACCGGTAGTGTGCTGGCTTCTTCCACCAGCGATAATACCAAGAAAGTTGGGCAGGTATTGCCCAGTGTGGGCATTTCACTGGTGCCTATCAAGGAAGCCGTAGCACCCCAAAAAGTGTTTGATCAGAACCAGGCTTCTATGGTAAGGGCCGCTATTAAAAGACTTGACTATATGCTGGCAGACAATAGCCTGGTGGGAGAAAGAGATCCGGACATTGCCCGCAAAATTGCGAAACTGAAAGATGAACTGAAGCAGATACAGGTGCAGCTGATAGATGTACCGCTTGAAATAGCTGAGAACATCCCCCTGGATGAACTGAACGAATACTTCAATAGCCCCAAAGTAAATAAGAAATACAGGCTGAAGAAATAAGCAAATCTTTTTTCTTACCTGAACAACCAGCATCAGCCGGTACCGCGATGAAAACATCCTGTACCGGCTGATTCGTTTTCTATAGTAAACAAATTGCTTTACGCACCCGGGCAGCGCGGAGCCGTTACCTGCAGTATGTGCATTCTACAAAAACGACAGCCGTCAACCATAATAGTAAACACTTATGCGCCGGGCAAATCAGATTTTAAAGCTGCATGTTCTGTTGTTTTAAAAAAAAACCTGTAACTTAAATAAGCGGATCAAACCGGTATACTCCACCAACGAAAATTTACAGCGGCCTGCGCCCAATGCATAACGGCAAAGGGTAAGTTTATTCATCTACACCAGTCAAATGAAACAGGAAACCGGCAAGTTTTTAAAAATTGGCATATTTTCCATTTTAACGGCCCTCATTATCATTGCGTTTGTATTAGTAAAACAATCGCAGCAACTCAGGAAGACCGCCAGCTTTGTATCACATACTACGGAGGTGCTGTATAACAGCCAGAAGCTTTTATCCGCCACGGCAGAAAGGAAAATCACCGAGCGGAATTATATGCTTACCGGTGACAGTGTACAGCTGGAGGCGCTGGCGCAGCTAACCACCGTTCAGCAGCAGACCCTTAACAGAATACAAAAGCTTACTGCAGACAACCGTCCGCAGCAGTTACGCATTGGCCTGCTACACAATTTTATCAGCCAGGACTTTGACAATGCTGAGCGGGTCATCAACCTTAGAAAGACAAAGGGCCTGGCTGCAGCAGCCGGTTTTATGGCCCAACAACGCAGTCCCGATTACCTGGCGCTCTCTAAATATACCATTGCACAGATTGAAGAAGAAGAAAATAAATTGCTGAGCCACCGGCAGGAGGCAAACCGCCGCTCGGCTGCAAGGGTAAATATATTGCTGGTATTGCTGATTGCCATCATTCTAACACTGGTAGCCATCATCATCCGCACCCTGCGGTTCGACCTTAGCACATTACGGAAAGCCGAAAAAGAAAGAAATGACAGCGAAGAACAGCTGCGCCTGCTGCTCACCAATGTTAAAGACCATGCCATTTTCACTACAGATGTTAACGGGAATATTATCAACTGGAATGAGGGTGCAGAAAGAGTTAAAGGCTACTCGCCGGAAGAAGTAACAGGAAAACATATTTCACTGTTCTATACCGCCGACAAAGTACAGACCGGCGAACCTGATCACAACCTGGCCAAAGCAAGGGAAAGCGGGCAGTATGAAACAGAAGGATGGCGGGTAAAAAAAGACGGCACGGTATTCCTGGCCAACAATGTGTTTACGGCTCTTTACAACAAACAACAACAACTGAAAGGGTTTGCAGAAATTACCAGGGACATTACCGAACAAAGGAAAAAACAGGACCAAATCAGCTATTTGTCTAACCTGGTAGAACAAACCAATGATGCTATCTTTTCCACGGATACCCGGTTTGCCGTGCTGAGCTGGAACAGGGCTGCAGAAAAACTGTATGGCTATACCAGGCAACAGGTAATGGGACAGCAACTGGCTGTTCTTATTAAAAGCCGGCTTACAGATGCGGAAAGAAAGAAAGCGGTAAACGAACTGAAGCAAAAGGGCTTTTACCAAAGTGAATCTGAATTCAGTAATAAAAATGGTGAGACGATCTTTGTACTGGCCTCGGTGACCAGCATTGTAAGCGACACCGGGGAAGTAACCGGCTATGTGGGCGTTCACAAAGATATTACAGAACGCAAAAAACTGGAAAAGGCCCTCACGCTGGCCAATGAACAACTGGAAGAAAAAGTGAAGGCCAAAGCAGCAGAACTTACCGGCATATTTGAAAGAATTACTGACGCGTTTGTTGCTTTTGATAAAAACTGGTGCTATACCTATGTCAATAAAAAGGCAGGTGAGTTATTCAACCGGGCGCCTTCTTCCCTCATCGGCAAAAACATCTGGGAAGAATTCCCGCAAACCATTCAGTCCCCTGTGCACGCCCTTTTTTTGACCTCATTTAAGGAGCAGAAATTTGCCAGCAATTCCGATTATTTTCCACCACTGAAACTCTGGCTGGAGAACTACGTATATCCTTCCCCCGAAGGTGTGTCTGTATTTATTAAAGACATCACGATAGCAAAAAAGGCAGAAGAAGAAGTCTCCATTTCCAATGAAAGATTTGAAATTGTTGCCAATGCCACCAACGATGTAGTGTGGGACTGGGACCTGGTCAACCAGCAGATTTGGTGGAACAAAAATTATTACACCAATTTCGGGTACCCCGAAGAAGGCAGCAATGACGCCAGCTCCTGGTACAATGGCATTCACCCGGAAGACAAACAAAGGGTGACAGACAGCATTCAGCAGGCTATTGAAAGCGGCGCACTCTCCTGGTCTGACGAATACCGGTTCCTGAAAGCAGATGGTACGCATGTATTTGTGCTGGACCGCGGCTACATTATGCACGACAAAGAAAAAAAACCATACAGGATGGCAGGTGCCATGGTAGACGTCACCGGTATCAGGAAAGCCGAAGAACGGATCATTAACAACGAACAACGTTTCAGGGCCCTGCTGCAAAACAGCGCAGACGGACTTATACTAACTGATGCTGCCGGCATTATCCTGGACATCAGTCCTTCCGGCACCCGCATTTACGGACACAGTTACGATGACATGATTGGCAAAACCCGGCCCGACCTGGTGCATCCCGATGACCTGCCGCTGGTGGGCAATGCTTTTGTAGAAAGCGCCAAACAGCCTGGTGCTATTACCGTATGTGAGTACAGGCACAAACTGGCCAATGGAAATTACCGCTGGCTGGAATGCAGTTTCAACAATTTATTGCACGAGCCCTTTGTAAATGCCATGGTGCTGAATTTCCGCGATGTCAATGAACGTAAAGTGGCCAATGAGAAAGTAAAAACCAATGAACAGATGCTGATCCGCGCACAGGAGATTGGCCAGTTCGGAAGCTGGGAGTACGATGCCATTACCCAGGAAATTAAATGGTCCGACTCTATGTACCGGATACACGGGGTAAGCAAAGACCAGCCAGTGTCACTGGAGTTGTTTTTTCAGCATGTATACCCCGGTGATATCAGTAAGATACAGTCGGTTTTCAGAAACCTGCAGCCCTCTGAGCCCAGGTTCAGGGATGAGTACCGTTTTTTAAGAAAGAAAAGTATTTTGGGCTACGCACTTACCACTATCGACAGTGTTTTTGAAGAAGGCAGGCTGCGCAAGGCCATGGGTGTGGTACAGGATATTACCGAACAAAAGAAAGCAGAAGAAGTATTGCGGCAGAGCGAAGCCCGGTACCGGAAAGCACAGTCACAGGGCAAACTTGGTCATTGGGAACTGGACATTGTAAACAAGGTGTTCTTTTTATCTGATGAGATCTATGGCATTTATGATCTGGCACCCAGGGGTGTTGCCGAAGGCTATGATGCCTTTCTAAATATTATTCACCCCGATGATAAACAAAACTTCATCACTGAACTGAATGAGGTGCTGAACGGACATAAAAGCATGGACATCATTCACAGGATAGTTCGCAAAGACGGATCCATACAGTTTATTCACGAGATTGCCGAATTGGAAAGATCCGAATCGGGACAGCCATTACGGCTTACAGGAATGGCACAGGACATTACGGAACAAAAGATAGCTGATGAAAAGCTGCGGCGTTCAGAGCATAAATACCGCCTGCTGTTTGAAAACAATCCCATGCCGATGTGGATGAGCTCCATACCGGAGCTGAATATTATTGATGTAAACCAGTCTGCACTCAGGCAATACGGCTATACCCGCGAAGAATTCCTGCGCCTGAATTCAATGGACCTGCGACTGCTGGAAGACGAAGACGTTTTTTTAAAAGAGATAAATACCGCCAGTTCCGGCCAACCCAGTACCATGCAATGGCGGCATAAGAAAAAGGATGGTTCTGTGATTTATGTGGAGATTTTTAATTACCAGATTATGTACGAGGGCAAACCCGTATGGCTGGGCCTCAGCATAGACATTACCGAGAAAACCAGGGCCGAGGCGCTATTAAAAAAATCGTATGAAGATGTCCGTCAACTGGCCTCCCACCTGCAGGACGTCCGCGAAGAAGAAAGAGCCCATATGGCCCGCGAAATACACGATGAACTGGGGCAGCAACTGACAGGCCTCAAAATGGATATTTCCTGGCTAAGCCGCAAGAAAGATCTTGACGGGCCACAGCGCGATCAGAAACTGAAAGAAATATTAACCTTCCTGGACGGTACCGTAAACACCGTAAGGAAACTGTCTGCCGAACTGCGCCCCAGCATACTGGACGACCTGGGCCTGGTGGAAGCGCTGGAGTGGTGGAGCACAGAGTTTGAAAAAAGGTCTGGCGTACCCTGCAGTTTTCAGCCACCTGTGAGTGATGTGCAAGTACCTTCGGCTATTGCCATTGGCCTTTTCCGCATCTTCCAGGAGTCGCTCACCAATGTAGCCAGGCACGCAAATGCCACCAACGTTGTTTCTCAGCTGGAATGCGCCAATGGCAGGCTCATACTTAAAATTGCAGACAATGGCCGGGGCTTCGACAGCAGCAATACCAGCCAGAAAAAAACATTAGGGCTGCTTGGCATGAAAGAACGAACTTTGATGATGGGAGGCAGTTATGAAATTATCAGCCGGCCCGGCAATGGTGCAACTGTTATCATTACGGTTCCGTTCAACCACCCGGAAAACCTCTAAATTATTTTATATTTTATGATTCGGATTTTGATTGCAGACGATCATACAGTAGTAAGAAAAGGACTCCGGCAGATACTGTTAGAGCAGTTTAACCCGGTGCTGGTGGAAGAAGTGGGTGATGCAGAGAGTCTTATCAAGAAAGTAATGACCAGCGAGTGGGATGTAATTATTACAGACTTGTCCATGCCCGGCAGAAGCGGGCTGGATGCGCTGCAGCAGATAAAACAATATTACCCCAAGTTACCGGTGCTAATCCTCAGCGTACACCCCGAAGAACAATACGCTTTACGGGTACTCAAAGCCGGAGCCGCTGGTTACCTCAATAAAGACATGGCTTCAGAAGAATTGGTAAATGCGGTTCAACGGGTGCTGTCGGGACGGAAATACATCTCTCCTTCCGTTGCCGAGAAACTGGCCGTTTCGCTGGATAAGGATGCCAGCAAACTGCCCCATGAATACCTGTCAGACCGGGAATTTGATGTGCTGAAACTGATTGCCTCAGGCAATTCTGTTACCCAGA